CAAAGATACAAAGCTGCAATCCAAGTCACAATTTGTGGTGGTAGGTACAACTAAGTGACATTAAACTGAGAAGCTATTGTAACAGAATGTAATGCTTAGCACGTGTCTCTGTCCTTCCGTAGTCTATAACTAGTAGGATTTTTTTTTCTTTTCTTTTTTTTTTTTTTTTGAACCGGGAATTGAACTCAGACCCTTGTGCTTGCCAGGCAAGCACTTATTCTACTGAGCTATCTCCCTGGCCCCAAAGACTTTTTTTATTCGGTATGGGGAATCGAACTTGGGGCCCTGCATTTGCCAAACAGGCACTTAGGCCACTGAGCTATCTCCCCAGCCCTACTAGTAGGACTTCGAACTCTCTTCCTACATGAGGAAGAAAATACTTGGGCTCAAAATGATTGCTTGAGCAAACATACCACACACACACACACACACACACACACACACACACACACGCAAAATCTGTCAGTTCCAAATACATCAGAAAAAGAGAAAAAGGCTTACTTTTAATTTTACATACTATACTATCAAAGTTTTTGTCTTAACTGCCAATTTCATAATATAAAGATGAAACAAGTCTGAGGAATGCTTTGGTAAAAATATGTTCCATCTGAGGTGAAGTTTTTTGTTCATAATTTGATGCAGTGATTTGGATTTGGGGTGTAAGAGGTTTTAGGGGCAGCACTTTATCTGTATAATACTAGGACTTGGGCTGGAGTGCTAAGAGAGCAGGAAAGAATCAGCACTAGGCAAAGAAAAATGAAGCTTCAAAATGATGAAATCTTCGGGGTCTGAATGAGTAAACTCTTTCTACTGAACAATTTATCTTCACAACTTTATATTTTTCCTTAAAATTAACATGGCTTGAAAATGAAACTGGATTCCTTTAGCTAAAGCTAAGTTACTTTACTTTCACTCAAAGCAAAGCTTACCTGTAATCATCAACTGACTCAGTATTTGAAACAAATTATTCTTCTAGAATCCACGAACAGCAATTCAAGAAGAAAAAGACAAAGGAGGATGGAAGGATGGAGGATGGGAGGGATGGGTGTATGAGAAAGAAAGAGACAGAGACAGGCAGAGAGAAAACAGAGAGAGAGAGAGAGAGAGAGAGAGAGAGAGAGAGAGAGAGAGAGACAGACAGACAGACAGACAGACAGACAGAGACAGAGAGGTAACATACAAGAAAGAGACAAAAAGGATGTAAAGAAAGAACAAGAGGGAGTACATTTCTACCATGTACAAGATCCTCAGTTTGATCCTCAGCATGAAAATAATTATTCAATTTTATACACTCATTTGTATTATTAATGATATATACAGTGTTCAAGTATTTATAATCAAACTTGTATATCTACCTGAATGGTTATGTGTAGGAGTGTGTGTGCATGTGTGTGTGTGTGTATCCAAAAGACTGGAAAAAAATTGAGGGGCAGATAGGAAACATCTTCTGTCACTTAACATTCTGGGAACTGTTCCCAGCATGGTAGCCTTTGTTTATCCGATGACATCTCAAACTTAAGGAGAAAGCAGGCCCTTACCAAGGCAAGCTGGGAAGTAAGGCCACAAGAGCGCCTCCATTCCAGCCTCCGAATCACAGTAGAAGACATCGTAGTGCCTTTTCGACCTGGTATTTTAGGGTGTTAAAAATTCATTTTGTTCAGCAAAACTCTGTATAATTTCTAATGTTTTAACCATTTTTTATTTTCTTAAAATAAACTAAAGAAAAATAGTTTGTATTTTAAAAAGTTCCTTAAAACAATCTGAACATTAATTTTACTAGCTCTCTGAGTACTTTCCCCAGCATAAGTAGAATGAGATAAAATCAAATGAATGTGAAATAATTCAGATCCATTTTATAATTTAAACACTTAAATTGTTAATCAATTGTTACTCTATTCTGTACCTCTGGTCATTTTTTTAAGTTTGTTTTTCTACACCATTTTCCTAAAACATATATATGTGTGTGTGTGTGTGTGTGTGTGTGTGTGCACAAACACCTTTTGATGCTTTACAACTACCAACTCAATAACCATCCAAATTGTTTATAAAATTTTTTCTTAATTCACACTTTAAAACTAAATGATGGTCAAATTAAAGCATAATTATATTGGAATCATGACCCTTTTCTGTATTCAGTCCACAATAAGTATTTGAGTTTTTTCTTTTTTAAAAGAATTTAGAATTTAGTATCTTATAAGTATGATGTCACAGCCAATAAAGTGTGTTCATATGTAAATCCACTGAAATCCAGAGCCAGGCATCGCAAGGGTCTCCTCGCTTATTACTGTATGACATTTCCAGTCTGAAGGTGCAGGAGGGACTCATATTAATTTGCTTTATGTTTGACTAGAGAGTCTTCCCATAACTACCTAAGCTCACTTTGGACTTCATTCATTTTAGAGTTGTTGTCAGTCATTTGAGAGCGACGTGCCCTGAGACTGGAAAAATAAACACATCATATATTAGGTAAAGCTTTGATCGTGGGAATTTGGAATGGGAATGGCTCTTTCTAAGGATGGGGAAGCCAGACAGTGGGAAGAAGGGGCCGGAGGAAGGGACACCGAGGAAGCAGCACGGGAGCCTTCCTGGACCTCTGCAGCTCAGAATAAAGTAGTGGGCCAAGTGGCTGTGTGATCTGTTCTAGCTTTGGTGTGTTTCCTAGTGAGCTATAAGAGGAGAGAATGAGACTGGGGCATGACTTGTTTGTTTCCTCCAATTACCAAACACTGGGCTTCAACAGCCTGTTGCTGATGTTCCAAGCTGAACTGGAACATTTTAATCTCAATGACCATTTTTAAGTGCTGGCCAAGAATGGCCCCTGAGTCAGAATTCAAATCTGCCCATTTTGCCTTTTCCTGTTCCCAGCTCCTCCATTCTACTCATTTTTGCAGATAACTTTAAACAAAACTTGGTTCTGTACTAATAGAAAAAGTACTTTATTCCAGAACATACAAATATCTCTTTTTTTCTGTCTCATTCAGAGGTACAGAGTGACTTTGTGACTGACAAATATATTTTCAAGTTAGAAATTCCATGAGTTACAGCATTATTAAGAGAAAACTTTCAAAATTTCAGAAATAAGTTTCAAAGAAATTTGGCCAGAGCAGCGTGTTTCTTTCTCCACGTGTCCCGTGTCCTGTGCTCTAGTGTACAGAGCTTGCCGTCTCAGAGTGACTGGTAGCATGATTCGAACCCATGTGTTTCGACTCACAGTGCACCAGTGTTTGTGCCCAGTCTGTGATGCTTAAGGAAAGCTCATTTCTCAGGGCTTTGTGGCCATTCAGCGTCTTTAGACTCCTAGTGAATGAGGACTGGGATGTGTGATTATGTTATGGGTTTATCCAGCAGCCATGTCCCACCCTCCCGTTGCACTGGCATAATGCCTTACTGTATTGGGCGCAGTGCATTAGGAAATAGTCTCCTCTTGTCACCTTGGTGCAGGAGAGGACATGTTGTCTAACTTGTTTTTTTTCTTATGAATGAATCAAAGGATCACCACTTGTTGAAAGAATGAATTTTTTTTAGGTACTGGTGATTGAACTCAGGACCTTGTGCTTCCCACGCAGGCACTTATGCCACTGAGCTATCTCCCTGGCCCCCGAAGAATGAATCTTTAAAACATTACAATGTACAGATTAAAATCTCTTATTCCTCTTCCTAAGGCTACAAATCTAACTATTGGGGAAGAAATTAGCCTCACTGATTTAGCTTAAATAATTAAACAATACCTTTCTATTTACTTTTTAAAAAGTGAACTAATCAAAATGGAACTTAATGGAAATGACATTTATATAAATACATATATATATATATTCAAATTTAGAAAATTTATATTTCTGTAAATTTTAAATAACCCCAAATAAGTGATCCACATGATGGAAATATTATAATAATCATAATAATAAAAAATTTCTAGAAAGATAAGGAAAAGAGTAGAGGACCTTCATTTGCATTCAAATTCCAATTTTCTTGCAGATGGACCGTGATTAACTGTTTCTTTTCTACAAACCTAGAATATTGTTTAATGGCAATAAATAAATATCACTATGAATTGCTTTCTCTAGACCTGTTCACATCAGTTAGAGTTAGCTGGAAATATCTGAAAAGGAAAACAATGAACCACATTCGCTAAGTGCGCAATATGCACTTAGGTTATTTATACTTCGCATAATAAAAGTCAGCCTTTACTTACTGGGTGGACTATGCTAACCACTGTGCTAAAGACTTTTTGCTGCATTTCATGGTCATAAATTAGTTATTTTTAGTGGTATTTACTCAGTCACTTAGTTTTGGAAAATTCGAAAAATAAAATAAAGATGTCCACGTATCGCTGTCCATACTGACGTATTCTTATCAACATTGCCAATAAGGTTTTATCAGCCCAGGGCATGAGGCAAATCTATCTTATTAGTGTGAAAACTAATGAAAGATCATCCTGACAATGATAATTAATTGTAGTTGTTGACAAGGACTTAGTTCCTTGCACTCCCTTTTTGTTGCTCTTTCTTGGGCTTTCAGCTCTCTTCTCTCAATTAGACATATGAAGAGTGCAGCCCCCCCTTTGAGAAAGAAGCTTTTAGATTAATCATATTATCTTAAGGTTCCAAATCTCCATGCCTGCGTGACCTTTCTTCCGTTAGAATCCATTATCTTAAACTATCACAATAATCCTGGCTTTAGGGAGGGAGAGAGGGAAGAGGAATCAAACCTAATAGATGGCAAATAAGATTAATCTATGATCTAAGTGCCGATTACACTTGGCCCTGCCCTTGAACACCCAGGTGTAACCTTGAAATTCACATCCGTTAAGACTCGGCAATTGGATTGAGTGTCCCTCAAGGCCTTCAGGGCAGCTGGCCAAACTTTACCGATTAGTCCCCAGCGAGATCCAAGATCCTGGGCCGTCTCAGCTGCCAACTCTTTTTTACTTGTGGAATTTGGCAGCTGTGCTTTTTCATGTTTGTTTTGGGATAGCTCACATTTTTTAGATAAAATACTTATTTTGGGCCCTTGATTTTTGTTTGTCAGAAGCACCCGTCCATGGAGGGAATGAACTTTTTTGTACCTGGACCTCACAAGAGGAAAACAAATGATCCAGCCCCTTACAATCTGATAGCTGCACCAAAATAAATTCACATCTTTGCTTCTTTCAAAACACTGACATGCTGATCCCTAAAGTTACATATGTTTAAGAGAAAGCAAGAAGAGGAAAAATACCGCTTGCAGTATCTGTCTTCTGAACTTCAAGCTGATTATTTTTCTTCCATGTGGCCTGAGGTCTTAGAAAGGACATCCTTTCGGTGAAATGGAACATGACATCGGGGAAGTCGGAGCTACTGGTGACAGGGACAGGAAAAGAACTGCCCTTCGTGAAAGCATTTTCAGCCAAGAAGAAATATCATTGGGTTAGAGAGAAAGGAAAGAAAACCGTTGTGCAGTTTCATTCAGAGTTGGCCCCGTGTTCTGAAGTCGGAAGCTGAGTTGAAATACTGTCTCACCATTTATCTGTGGGCTCCAGGCACCTTAGAAAGTATTTAAACTGTAAGAAAATGGCATAAATTAAATGCATACTAAGGAGAGTTAGATCTACACAAGGGAAAGCAGGTGGGCTCCTTACATATGGGACATAAAATGTGGTGAGCAGAAAACATGTCCAATTCTTCTAAAAATGATGAGCAACTGAAAACTGCAGAGTCATGGGCTTGAAGCCCACTCTTGAACCCTCGATATTATTTGTGTCACGCTTGGGTCCACAGTGTCTATCCGGTGTGTCCTCAAGCACAAGTTGCAATTCAAAAGAGAGTAATTTGGGAAGAGCTCCTCATGCCAAGATTTCCTCAGTCCTTCTAACAAATGATACAGCAGATGTACCCTTCGCTCCTAATATGACCCTTAGGCCAGACACATCAGCGACACAGCTCCTGGAAGGTATTCTTCAGTTTTCTTGAAAACCTATAGCTTCATTCTCAATGTACTAAAAATAAATTCAATCTTACTGGAACCACCTTTGTCTTTTAAAAGTAAATTATCACATAATCTTTTACTCTTAGTGAGTAGAAAAGAGCAAGAAGAGAAATAAAATTTTTCAGCAGTCACCTCTTGGAAACCTATCCTTGAAGCTTGTATATCTTTAAGACATGGCCGATACAAGATCCTGGTTAGATGCAAAGGCACTCTTGAACCTTCCACTTCACCTACGTGAGTGTCCATTTGTACCAATGGATAAAAGAATATGGAAAGAATTCTATCCTCATTGGGCTGGCTATTCAATAATTATATAGAGGAAATACGTCATAATCACCAGCTGAGTGGCTTGAATACCTTCTCTGGGGCTTAATGGCTGTGTGACCTTTGGTGAAATGCTTAACCACTCTGCCTAAATTCCCTCATTTGGAGAGAGGGGACATTAGCAGTATTTACTGTATTGTGTTTCTATGGGGGCTTAACTATGTTAAAAGAGGAAGATTGCACAGAAGATATTTAATAAGTGCTGTACAGCTGTTTGTAATTTTTATGCTTCTGCTCATTTTTAGAGGATCAATGGCTGAGAGGTTTTTTTTTTTTTTTGCCTTTTTGCTGTTAACTTGTAGGCTCTGGAAAACAATGCTGTTGGTTTTGTGGATTTTTGAAAGGATCACAGCTGAGAAAACACCACAGAAAGGAAGGGTTCTGGAAGCTTTGGTAAAAATACAAAGGCTTCTCAAGCCCTTCTTTCTTTTGTGTGTGATAGGACAGTGGCATTTTGACAGAATGTAGGGGCCCTTGTCAGCTGTCCAGGGAGGGTTACCTCAAACCTCCACAGGAGCTTCATGCCATTAAGTCAGGGAGAGTAATGAAATTTCATTTAATTTGTCAGGAAGAAAGTGCTAATGTTAAAAGGCATTTAATAAAAAAGGAAGAGATTCTTTGAAAGGGAGCCCTTAAGTAATTACTTCAAGTGTCTTAGGCCCGCTCACCAGAATATTTACATTAGTATCTTACGGTGCCAGTGTGTAATTAAATTAGTGCCGCATTTACATTCCCAGCTTCTTTTTTTTTCTTTTAAGGATGTGTGATTTTATTAATAATCCTCCTTAAAAAAGAGAGAGAGAAAATGACTTTATCTAATCAAATCAGATGTTAGTGTTTGTTTGAAACGTTATGGCTGAGAGAATTGCTCGGCTTAAAGTTTATGTGTATGTGTACATGTGAGTTTGTGTGAGTTTGTGTGTGTGTGTGTGTGTGTGTGAGAGAGAGAGAGAGAGAGAGAGAAAGAGAGAAAGAGAGAGAGAGAAAGAGAGAGAGAGGACAGAGAATGTGTGTGTGTGTGTGTGTGTGTGTGTGTGTGTGTTCTGGGAAGAAGGGCCGGCTCCAGGGCAGGGTGGTGTTCTCCTTTCTCTTTTCCACTTGGAAAAATGCCATCTTTTATCCACTCAGACCTACCGTGCAGGTCACTTGGCTTGGCTGTCAGCTCTCCCTGTCTAGTCCGGCTTCTCACAGCCACCTGTCTGGGAGGAAGACAGGAAGATTTGGATGTATGAATGGCAGAAATAGCCCAGGAGGCATTCACATCCCTCAAGCCTCTGTGGGAAGAGAGAAGCCCAGCCTGATGGCAGGTAAATACACAGAAATGGTGAGCCCGACCCAGGCAACCAGCACCGAATGCATTTTTACCTCTGAATACAGGTCACATTTAGGAAAAAGGGCCTTAAGCATTTCATTGCAAATAATTTACTGCTGTTTTCCCAGTTGATTTACTTAACCTCCCCATGAATGAGTCTGCCCAAACCCTATGTGAATGGTTTACTTTTATCGGGCCTGTTACCCCAGATGCTGGGAGGGATACTGACATGAACACAGGTCGTTACACTGAAGACGACTGAATAAAGTCACATGGAAGGAAGTAAAAGTAGCAATCTACCTCACACTGTCAGGTGGAGAGTGAAGGAAATCAGTTATCAGAAACATTTATAAATGCTAAACTATAGTACCTTTATAAACTATTGCAATTATGGCTAAAGATATTTCACTGAGATGCTAATAGAACTAAATTACTCTCGTCAGTATCATTCAAGGGTTTTCCACGGCCTCGGTCAAAGCCAGAACTTTTGCATTGCCTTTGCTAATTTCCAGAAGTCTATCCTTCACAAATCCACTGTGCTTTGCAAAATAGCAGGTGTTTACTGCATGAAAACTCTTTCACCCCTAGAATGTCGTACGTGTCTTTCCCTATGTGCTCTGAATACCTGAAAACTGAGTAACACTAAGTGTCTGCACACTCTAGCTACTGCTAACCACTCAAGCCCTTGTTCTCTGCGTATGGTGGGTAGCCACTGCAGTGAACAACACAGCTGTGGACCAACCATCCATCCTCACAGCTGAGGGGTTACAGACCTGCAGCCTTAGGGCATCAGCTGCACCTTCCGACTCCATTCCTTACTTTTCAGCTGCAATAGCACTTCTACAAGGAAGCCCCCTCAACCCACCCCATGGCTTTAGTAAGAGTTAGATGGTCTTCTTTAATGCCCTGCATGGGAGTCCCTGTGTGCGTACATGAATTTCCCGGTCAGCCACCAGCTAAGAGAGGTTAAAAAAACAAAACAAACAAAACAAAACAACCTCTCTTCTGCACTGATCAGCATTATATGGTACCCATACAAAGCCAGTAATATCAATGGCATACCTGAGTGTTCACTAAGTGGTATATGTTAAACACTTTACACGATCTCGCTGAATACATGAGTAAGAAATGCTGTGTGACTCCGTGTACTTGCAGACACCATCTGCTGTTCCTGTCCTGCAAATGAAGAAGGTGAGGTACAAAGAAGTAAACTAGTAGTTTGGATCTTTCGGCTATCAATGAGGAGGGAAGAGCACAGGGCCAACCAGCCTGATAGCAGCCTGTGGTCTGAAAGAATGCAAGCATAGCTATGAACAGTCACTGAGGTGGAGAGTAGTCTTGCATACTGTCGCTGTGCTTTAAAATCACACTGAGTTTTCAAACATCCTGGGAAAGTATGTTTTCTTTTTAATAAATGCTTTATGCCCTCTTTCCCTCTCTTCAGCTCCCTGTTGTAAGGTGAATCAAGAAGGCAAATGATTCACCCTTTTACAATTAAGCAGCCTAAATTTAGGCAGGCTAAGCAAGATGAAAGCCCAGTGGGTTAATATCATAGAGTCCAAGTGAGGCCGCTTTGGCAAGTATCCAGGGACCTGCGACATACGGGCGATGGATCCAGGACTTCAGCTTTGATTTCCCTTGGATTTAATGCCTTACTTCTTTCACTGCCCAAGTCAGATTAATTAGCAGAATCATTTCTTTCTCATAACTGAATGGGTTACTGATGTTATTTGTTAGCATGAAATAACTACACATTGTTCTCAACAAATTAAGATGTCTATAAATAGGTCCCCAATCAGGCATTAAGCCTCATGACTAGTGAATCACTACATCTATTAATAAATCAATACCATGGCTATGCACATAGACCTCGTATTATCTCAAATTGAATATTGCTCCTATGAAAAACACTTCTTAAAATAAATTTATTTAATATAAACTTTGGGTAGGTGAGTTTCACATTATGATTGAAGCTCAAGCTATTTTTGTACAATATCTAAATGCAGTAGTAAATATGAAAGCATAGGATTAATGAAGAGCTAATATCATGTTTTGTTAGGGCATCGAAATATCAACACAGGGAACTTGATGTTCTGCATTTTGTACATGCAAAGCTAATACCTAGCTATCAATTCGAGGACTCCCATCCAGCAAATGGCATGCTGTAATCTTTACATGTTTTCATATTTACTCACTTATTCTTGCCAAAGAAAATCTATAAGATTATTATTATACACAGGAGAAAACTATAGCATAAAGCGAAAATACTGGGCTCAAATCTGAGTCACTGAGTGACAGAGAAGGGGTTCCGACTTCTGCAATCTAATTCCACAGCCTGTTTTCTTAACCGCTGGTCTTTATTAATTGCCTCTCACTCAATCAGGCACTCCAAAATTTAGGAATTTAGTGTTACTTTCTAAAGGAAAGAGAAAGGCCTTCCCGAATTTATTCCGAATGATAACATCATTTTTTTTTGGCGGAATTGGGGATTGAACTCAGGCCCTTGCACTTGCCAGAGAAGCACTTATTCCACTGAGCCATTTCCCCAGCCCCAATAGCATCAAATTTGAATATGCACTTTGGGTTGTCAGTATAGAGTCCAACAAAACATAATGGCTGTCTATGTCCAAACAGAAAATATAAAAAGGATTTCTGATAAAATTGACCATTTCTGTTCAACAAAACAATTTACCTAAATGTACCACGGGACCAATATTATACAATCCATTTTATATTTTCATTTTCTTACTTTAAAAATGGTATTATGTTTGCTCAATAGAAGCAAAATATTCCATTTCATGTTTAGAGAACTTTTCTAATTTGCTGTCTTTTATACAGTGGAGTTTGAACCTTAAACGACCATGTGTTTCTCGATACGGTCATGCCCTGCCCTGTATGAAACTAAACGTTTCTTCTCTTTAACACAAAGAAAAGCAAAAGAGTAAGAGTAATGTAGTTTAAAAAGGTGCTCAAAAATCCCTATTAGCGAGAGCGTCAGTTGAAATCTAGATGTAATTTTTCTCCCAATCATAAAGTGTCATTAGTGACATTTTGCAAATATATGGATTGCACCCGCTTTCTTGGGAGCTATTTATAAAGCGCCTAGCACGGCTTATACTGGCGCTTGGCCATTTTAGTTACTTCGTGGGATCTGCTCATGGTCAGATCTGATCGGAGATGCTGCAGTCCGTCCTGTAGGAGGAGGAGCTGAAAAGCTGGAAGGTATTGAGCAGGTCAGTTCAGCAGAAAGGAAACACATCCTTGCTTCTTAAGATTGAAGTAGCTGAAAAAAATGCCCAGGGTGTTCTTGTCTCCAGAGCTCATTCTAAGACTGGGGAAAGAAAAAGAACAACAGACTCCTCTGCTTTTGGGAAAAAAACAAAACAAAACAAAACAAAACAAAAAAACCTTTTGCACAAGGTGGCGGGACCCCAAAGGACGTAAAACAGCCATGGCTTTTAGATGTTATTGAAGCAATCTCTGACATTCTTTAGAGTCAAACTCCTTGCAGAGGAAACACCCAACATCCCCCACAACTATGTTTTCAGGAAAAAAAAAATAGATATTGAAATGGGGGAAACAGATTCAGAAGAAATGATTTGTAAGGATATGGTTAGGACTATTTATATAGCGGGTTCTATTTGTTTTACAGCGAGTGGTGTTCGGACAGCAGGAAAGGTTATCTTTGACAAGGTTTTAGCTATTATTTTCTTCCAGTGAAATGGTATTTCTTGAGAAAAAAAGGTCTTTGGAACAAAATAACAATAAATCCTGATTTAGATACATAAACCTGCCATTGATATCACATAATATCAGTGTTCTTTCTCACTCGATACAGGCGTTTTAAAGATAAATGGTAAAACTGAACTGGAAATCCATCTGGCTGGCTGCCTGCTCTAATGAATAACCCCACTTTGGCTCGTGCAATGTAAGCAGAAAGTTCTCTCCCGGCCGCTTTCGTCCGTCATGAATCTACAAGACAGCCGACATAATATCTGGGCGACAACAGTGCGCTAACAGTGCAGTGACTTCCATTTTCTTTGCTTTCTATTGATTTTCACTTAATAACTGGCGAAATACTAAACGTCCGCCCTGAGTACCTAATAAATCCTGCCTGAGCTTTTTATTGAGGAGAATTTAATAAAAACAACCATTGCGGCTGAGGGATTTTTCTTCTGGACAGAACATAGGGGTAGGGGACAGCAAGGTTGGGGCAAGAGGAACCCATTTGATTTTTTTTTTTTTTTTGTACAAGACTTCTCCCCCTTGGAAAAATCATGCATGCCTCTGTCAAGGTTCTGTGGGTTTGAAGACCTTCCCTGGGAGAGGTGGCTCTAAAATCCACAGAGAGGCATTCTCCCAGTGTGAGACAAGGATGAGGTAAGGAAGGCTACCATGGCATGGCAAAAGCCGACTTTCTGGCCCTTTGATAACAGATTTCAAGTTTTTAAGAGGTTTGTCAGAAATCTGGCACAATATGCATGTCACTGCTGTGACTGAATTAATATTTAAAGCAGGTCTTTGAAGCTTCTAACAGAATTCCAGGTGACAAAAGAAACGTGGGTGAAAGGAGGGCATTTAGAAGTTGTTCCATTTAATGCTAATGCAAGGCTTACAAACTCACTTGACAAACAGGTAAAGTTCCAAGGTGATATGGTGGACACGGGTAATCCCAGCTACTCTGGAAGCAGAGGCAGGAGAATGACAAGTTCAAGGCCAGTTGGGCAATTTTATTGAGACCTTGTTTGAGAGAGAGAGAGAGAGAGAGAGAGAGAGAGAGAGAGAGAGAGAGAGAGAATTAGAGGGACAGAGAGTTAGTGGGAGGGAGGGAGGGAGGGAGAGGTGGAGAGAAGAGAGAAGGAAGAAAGAGAGGGAGGCATGAACTTTGTCTTCCAGCCTTGCAGTACTTTCCTCCGCATATACTTTAGGACCACTGCGGATGCTTCAGAAAGTCTCTTTAATCTTTTGTTTTGTTTTTTTCCTGGAAACTTTGTTTTGTTTTGTTTGATTTTTGTTTTGTTTTGCAGAGGGAATGGTGCTGGACCTTCTTTTACTTTGAGAAAGGGTCTCTGTACATCACTAAATTGCTCAGGCTGGACTTGAACTTGTAGTCCTCTTCCCTAGCCTCCCATAGTGCTGAGAGGACAGGTGTGTGCCGTCTGTGATAGGGTCTTTTCAAAGCATCTTGTAGCTATGGCTGCTGCTACTTTTCATATTTTAGTTGATCTAGGGGCTACTTTCAAGTCACTGGGCTTCAGAAATCAATGTTTAAGAATTTCCTCGTGCATCTGCACGTAACACATTCCATTCTCCATAGAATTTCTGATCAGGGATCTATGTATTTAGAAAAAATGAAAAACTAGAAGTTGATACCCTTCACGTGAAGTAAAGAAATCCCCCAAAAAAGTTTAAGGAACTGAAGTTTGGCTATCATTTCTATAAAACACCACCAGCACTGCAGCAAAGCCATGAGTGGCTCAGTGACTCCTTAATAAGACAGCTTTTGTACAGGATGTGGGGACAAAACACAAGCCTCCTGTCCAAGGGCCTGAACTGAAATCCTAGCTTTTCCTTGGATGTCATTGCCAGCTTAGTACGACAAACATCATCTCAGCACAAATCCATACACTCAGGATGCTTGGCAAATGGTACGGGGGACCCTCAGCAATTGGCTGTTCAGCAAGCTGCTGAGTTATGGGCTGAAATTAGCTGAACCCCAGAAATCACCTTTTTTCCCTCCACTATTCACAGCCCTGTTCACAGCCTTGATTTAAAAAAACTTCTCAATGTCCTAGTTTTCTCATCTCTCCAATAGAGGCAATGCCCAAGTGCTTGCAACTGTGAAAGAAGTTCACATAAGTTAAGTGTTTAAAAGAACGCTTGATGTACATGTCAGGCCTGATGGACACAGCTCCTCCACCCAGTGGAGGGCAACAGTGGAGGGGCTGTGGGTGTGTGGAGAAAGACTGCATGGGAAATCTCTGCACACTCTACTTATTCCTGCCCTGTACCTAAAGCTGCTATAATAAGTCTTAAAGTATGCACACACACTCAGAAATATTTAAAACATTTTTGTTCAGATGATTTATAAATCTTATGCTACAACAAATGAAGTCAAGGTGCAAGTCTTTTACAAAACATAATCTATGTATGATTTTGAAAGAGACTTGAATTTTCATGTTCATATCTTCTTTAACTCCAGTTTTACTTTTTGGGCATTGTGTCCTTTCCTCATCCTGTTTTCCTTAACAAGGACAGGGAAGTATTTTGCACTCACTGACTAGTTTGTTTCTCCCCCTTAGGTCTTTCTTAAACTAGTTCATTTCCTCTTGGGCAGAAGTTTGGTTTCTTTGTGTCACACAGGACTGCTCTGGTGAAGATTCAGCGGATCCCCGTGTACATGCACGCTCGGATTAGGGGAAGGACATTTCAGGCTTGCCTCTTCGGGCTTTGGCTGAATGCCCTCTAATCGGGGACGCATAAAGGTGTATTGCTATTCAGATAATGTCTTCGCCTGCTCAACAAAAGGTTGTTGTGCTGAGCTGTGATTGTGACAAATGATTTACTATTAGGAACATTCTGTAATTATTGTTCGGTGGGACTGCAGACCGATACATCATTAACATGATAGACGGCCTTTTATATCAGCAAAAATAACTAAATTAATAAAAATGGCTTCATTCCAAACCCTGTCAGAAAGCCAATACTCAGAACAGTCAAGTAGCAGGGATACCTGAAGAAGCTGTAGCTCATATCCCCTAACAAATCTTGTTTTATGCCTAAGTAATAAAATACTTGTATATATAATCCCTACAGTATGGATCTGAGTAATATAGCATATTTTATAGATATCAGCACTAAATAAAAATGTAGGATATATAAATGTTTTCTCCCAAATGTTTTAGATTTGAATTTATCCAGTATTGTGTTTTTACAATATTAAATTTTGCCTATTCTTTTCTTTCAAGATTTATTAAGTTGTGAGAACCATTTTCAATGTGGACCCTTCAGCCTGAAATATTTTTCCACTTTCTTCTCTTTCTTCCCTCCTGCCCTTTTTTAAGCTTCATGTCCTTTTTTCTTTTCTCCCTTCCTTTCTGTACCCTTATTTTCCTTTTTCCCTCCTTTTCTTCCTTTCTTTTCATCAACAAGCCGATTATATAGCATTTTATCCTTAGCTTAACTTACATCCTTCACTTCACATTTCTACTTAGAATAACAAGCAAAAGCACCATTTCTGCATATTCTGTTGGACTTAGATAAACCAAGTATGAGCCTCTGATATTCCTATAAAAGCATTTAACTGTTATTATTTATTAGAAGTCACAATTGTATTATGAGCTTTGTACTTCATACTGATAGCAAATATCAACTTTAAAATTGACTATTTTGGGGGCCGGGGAGATGGCTCAGTGGACTAAGCGCTTCCCTGGCAAGCACAAGGGCCTGAGTTCAATCCCTGGTTCTGCCACAAAAATTAATTAATTAATTAATAAAAAATAAAATTGACTATTTTAAGAAAGGAAATCTCCATTAAAATCTCCACACATAGAATATCTTGAGAAATCTGGGCAAAAGTAAACAAAAGTCAACTATTTTAGGTTGTTTTATTTTTCTCTCCCGCTTTTTACTTTTCAACGTCATTGTAACACAATCCACTCTCCAAAACATGTGTGAGATGTTTTGTAGCTCAGAAGTAATTTTAAATTGGAAGATATCATAGCAATATCTCCATATGTTACCCACTGTCACCATTAATCATTGATGACAGAGAGAGA